AGAGTGATTTTCTAGCATTTATCAGAGCACGCAATACTTGTAGAAGACTCTAGACTACTTCATTTTATTCAAATTAAATATGCTATATCAAAGCTTCTGCAGGCCATAAAGTACCATAGTTAAGAGTTGTAGCCACACTTGGCTTTTTAGCTATAAAGTACATATAAGAAACCATTTCATTTCGACCACCAGTAAATACTTTACAGATATTAAATAATTAATAATTAGTAATAACGTTAGACTGAACATAAAGTATTGATTCTTTTCATTTCCTGTACGAATGGCAAAGAGGTATATTAGTTTTGTGCAAAGTATAGCCTACAATCCTATAAAGTATATAGGTATATTCTTATTCTCGGTTTTCGAAAACGGCTGATCCCACATCAGCCCATCCTTTTATTTACAACTTTTTGCTCCTTTTCCCTTTGCTACGGAATTTGATCAATTCCTGAGCTACATAAACTAAACTTTACAAAGTGATTGTAATTATATATCTTGCTTTTTTTTTCATAGATTATCTGTGACTGTCATAAAAGAATCTCTGTGCAAAGTTTCAAGTAAAACAGTGGGATACATTGTGCCGATCATATTTATGTACACCTACAAAGAAGGGCTTACCATTCTTTCTTCAGGGTGTTACAAATTGCAAACAATTCAATTCAAAAAAAAATAAAAAATTATCTCACAATATTAATCATTAAGTCAGTTTAATGACTAACATGACTGTGTTAGTTTCGAGCTGTACTGGTAGAATATTATTTAGTGAAAAGAAAAGATGAATAAGGTCTGAAACAAGATTAACTGAAGCAAATACATAATTTACAAGTTACAGAAATGTCAAGTCTCTTCGCTCGTATATCTAAACTTCATTTCGTGAGACAAAAAAGCTTAGAATTACCTATGTAAATAAGATGAGCTGACCTTGCTCAGTATATTCTGGAATTTCACCAACATCCGCTTCATCACACATTTCAATTCTGTAGGCATAACCAACCCATTTATCAATTCATTTTTATAGTTAATGCAACTTTTTATGATTCAGTAATTCGGATACATCTACAATGCAATGTCTAAGGCAGTATTAAAGTTGTTTATAATGAACAAAACCAAAATGTTTGGAATCAAAGTGAAATTGGATGGCTTTATAGAGCTTTGATGATGGAATGGATGTGTAAAGTATCTAAGCACTTATATCTGTGCCATTTCTCAGAGGGTAGCAAATATAATTAATGCGGTACAACAACCCATCCCGACATAAATACGTACATATATGTATGTATCAGCAATTATATTTGCCAAAATACTTGTAGTTTACAATATTTATGGGTATGCTAAACAGCAGGCAATTGCTACAATGCTCTCATTGTAGGCTGAAATAAAACGCTGGAAGCGCAAATTTTAAAATACAAGTAGAAATATGAAATACGATATGCCAGCCAGCTGAGCCGTAGGCGCATTTTTATACCACATACATACATAAATACATACAAATATACTTTGCTAGCAAATAAATGTGTATAAATGTATGTACGTATTGCCATTTGTATATAGACAACAATGCTTACTGTTGGGCTTTGAGGGGAAGGATCCGCATTTGCAGCTTACACGACGAAATTGACATTTTGCATTTACTTATTTCCATCAGTTTTTCTTTTTGCAGTTGCGTTGCAGTGACTGTTTTTTTTTTCTCCTTTTATATTTTGTGTTTGCGGGCACAATAAAATGAGAAGAAAAATTGCATAATAACCCCTTTGAAATCGCCGGATTATCCTTAAATATTTGTGTAAACATTGTAACAAATGCGCAGTCGAAGCTTCTTCCCCTCCACTGTCTCCTATAGTTCCATAGTTCCATTGTCAAGCTGCGTACCAAGCTCCCCATCTCGTCACTGCACCGACTAACATACTTACTCGTCGTCCCATCGTCAAATGCCTGAATGATGAGCAATAGACAGGCATGCCACCGACGACAATGAGCAACTTTTTAGCCGGGTTTTTTTTTTCGATGCCAGATCCTTCTGCGAAGCAGACGCTACGCTTACGCATGCAACAATGACAATGCACATGGGAGGACAAAGCGGTGTGTGTGTGGGTTGGGGAGGTTGATAAAAATGGCTATGGAAATGGGCGCCTTAAAAAACTGTCACATATATTGACACGCAAACTGACAGCACGCTCTGGAACGCTTAAGAGTGCGTGCTCTGGCTAAGCCATGATGCCATAATATACATAATGATTACATGCATGCCACTTGACTAAGCAGCCGCAGGTCCTGGCTTTCAATTCCAGGTCGACAGTCGACGTTTCACAGGCATAGCAAATCAGGCGGGTGGCAAATGGCAATTGACTGAAACAAGTGACAGTGGCTTAGCAATTGGTTGTGTCAGATGATGCTCATGGCGAGTGTCATGTGTGTGTCAACTTGGAACGCTTGGGGGCGACAATGGTTGTGTGTTTGCGCAAGCAATGGCAACATTTCTTTTTCACTTGGTGCGGTTTAAAGTTTAGAAATTGACAGGGAAGCAAAAAAGTGGAAGGGAGCTCCATAAATATAGACTGTCTACAAAGTGTTACAATGTCCAAAGAGCAATCAAGGCAATTAGAATTATAAATTTATTTGAGTCAAATGAGCAAATAACTAGATATATGTTTTAAGGGCATTTTAAAGGTATAATTTGATTTCAGTTCATTATGAAATTATTTTATCAACCATGTACTTTTTTCATCATTTGTTGGACTCATTTACATGTTTTGAAAACTCTGAGGAACTAAGATTTCGATATGTGTACATACGCAAGAAAAAGACAAGCTCTATTTGAAATATAAGTAAACGACGTTTTTGATAGGAAACTCAGTTTAGATAAGCTCTTTTGGTTTCTATTACGATTCAAACGAAACAAAGGTACGAGTTACAAAAAACGCTAAATAATGTAATAATTATTTAAAAACATTTTAACGATGCTTTGGTTGGTAAAGACTGTCGCATCGGCACTAAGTAGAGATAAGAAGAAAGGCAGCAGTCGATATTGGTAGAAGCAGAAACAGTATTCAGCAGCAGTGGACAGTCAGAAGCAGTGGTTCGTGAAAATTCCATCTTAATTTGTATTGAACTTTTATTATAACATAAGTAAGCTAAATATAATTCACATATATGTAAACCGATCGCTAGTAACGCAAGAAAAATCTTAATGACTCTTAAAAGAGAACATGTAAAAAACATGTAAAAAAGCTAAAGTCGGGTGTCCCGACTTTGAAATACTTTTTTTGGTATTCGTAAAGGGTATATAATTACACATTTACATAGCAATTGCGTCTGTGTGAGTGTATGAATGCCTATGCGCATCTATTCGTGTCTGTGTAAACATCTTAGCAGTCAAGCAAACAGCAACATCAATAACAGCCGCGGGCAGCGCTTGAGCAGCGCTGCAGCAGCAAATATATTTATGGCTATAACTTCTTGTTAAATTGGTCTATCATAGTGAACATACGGACACATAATAACTAACTGGGGGTATTTGCAAAATTTTAGTTCGAAATTCCAAGAATTACGGGAGTTAGAGAAAAGAGGGGGAGGGAGGGAAATTCCAAAATATACATTTTCTGCGTATTCACACAAGGCATCTTGGACTAAAATTTGGTGTTCCTAGGTCTTATAGTCCCCGAGATATAGGTGATTATACGAATGGAAAATCGGGAAAACCCTCATAGGGGGAAGTGGGGAGGAAAATCAAAAAAATAAAACAAACTCGTATAGAACACATAAGGCAACTTTGTGGGTCCTTCTGCCTGTTACATTTTTCAGCTCCCGCAAACCTAATATACTTCTGTACATTTCATGTACAGAGTATAAATAGAAACATTATTAAACCATTTTCTTACACATTGTATTCCCTAAACATGGTAAAGTTGGCAGTGTAAACAAAATAAAACTTGCAATTATATGTGGCCCGCAGTATTGACTTTTAAAAAAAGTTTGTCAAATTCGTTACAATATATTTATCTATCTGACTAACAGATTTGTAGTAATGGAACTGAACAGAATTAGTTCTTTCGTCGCCACATTCTGTGTCTTAGTTTCTCCTTTAAGTTGCTTACTGAGTAAATAAGATTTTTTATATTGATAATTGTTATAATTGTACAACAAAATGAACTTGAAGTACAACTCAAGGCTGAAGCTCAGACAATTAGCAATGTTCCTTATGGTTAACCTGTTAGAAATATTGCATTCAAGTATGAAAACTAATTAGCTCAAGGCCCCATATGTGGCTGCATTACTTATGACACACACACGCACACACACATACATGCATATGCACATACGTACAAGTATACTTGTATATGACAAGTTTTGCAGTGGCAACTTGTGCTGCCTGACTAACCAAATCATAGCGCTTAATGTAATTAAAAAATGTAAAAGAAGCATAAGAAATTAAATCACGCAACTATTTTGCACGACAAAGAGGAAAATTATACGCACACGCGCACAATGCCACCAAGGAGGACACTGCTACTTGGTAAGGCGGTGGCTGCTTCAGACTGTGTTAAGGCGGGTGCTGTAGTTGCAGCAACAGCCGGCGAGCAAACGCCGCAAGTTTAATCGAATTTAACTGCTCATAATGTGCAACAGACAACAAGCGGCGAGGCGAGAGTTGAGGAGAAGGATGAGGCATATCTGTGAGGCATATAAAGTTAAGTACTAATCTTATTAGGATCAGCCAACAGGCGGCTCAACGAAAAACGCCACCGCGATGATGATGCTGACAATGATGATGGGCTTAAGTCACACAACAGACACCCCAATACTCATGCACACAAGCATACACGTACAATCAAACAATCAGTTGAGGTGAGCTAAAGAGCAGAGAGAGACGGTGAGTGGGCGGCGGTTTGCCAGCTGATGCGCTCTCGCACTCGTACGTGAGCACTTCAATTACCGCTGCTGCGGCGACTGCTACTACTGGCGGCTTTGAGTGCGAATGGGTTTTATTATTATTTACATACCTGTTGCAGCAGAGGCATTGTTTTGAATAAAAATTCCAATTTCCACACTTGTATTTCACGTTGCCGTCGTCGTTATCCTTGTTGCTGGCAATGTTGTTGTTGTTGTTGTTGGCGTCGTCGTCGTCGGCGTCGTTGTGTGTCGGCTATTGCATCGGCTGCCGCTTTCAACAGGATAAGCAGGCAAAAGCGGTAAAAACAGATGTCACTACTTCCGTATGGTGCTTGCAGCAACAATCGGTATCCTGGCCAACACACAAGCCGCAAGTTGCCGATGGCGTTGTCGTTGTCGTCGTCACTTGTCGCCCCGTTACTCTCAAAGAATTTATAACACCTGCTCTTTGGTGCTCTCACAGTTGCTCTCTCTATGACTGGCAAAGATGCTCAACGCTTGCTCACTTGTTCGCTTCGCGCAGCTTTCGCGCTCGACACGAGTCGTTGTTGCTGCCCTATTCGGTTCGATGGTTCGATTATAGTAAAGTTTGGCTCAGGCACAAAACATGTTGGTCCTCGTCCTTGCTGGCAAACAGTTTTAAAGTTTCAGCTGCTCGGACCACGCCGTTCTGTTGTTGATGTTGTTGTTGTTGTGATTTGACACTACTCAGAACGCAGACAGCAAGCAGCCGTGTCAGCGGCAGCAAATAGTCATCGATTCATTATTTCTCGTCAATGATGTAAATGTCGTGTTGCTTTTGCTGTTGGGGAGAGCAGATGAAATAATTTTACATAATCTTTTAGTAAAATATGCAAACTGCATCTAACAAGAAGGATATAGATGTAAGAAGGATGAATGGAATGAGCTGTGTGTATAGTATATAAAAACGAAATTGTTGGCAAATTTCAAATTCCGTATAGGGGACAAGGTCTTTATAATAATGTACAATTGTGTCGCATAATTTAAAGTTGTGGCTGCATAACATTTTGTTGAATTGATTGATTTTTCTTTGTCCAATTCCAAGTAGAAACAGAATGAAATCAAAGTCGAACGATACTAATATTCGTAAGTGGTACTGAAATTCTTTAAGGCCAAGCGCAGCTTGTCGAGTTTGCTTTTAAGTTAAAAAATGAGAAAATTAGTTAAGTTTCGAGAATTCATGCACTAACATGCATTAACATCGTAAAAGGCCTAATGGGACTTAATTTTGATATAATATTCTTGTTGCTTAAATTTACATCACATTAACAATTTCAAAAATATATAACAATGATCAAAACAGATATACGAAAGCAAGTCGGTTGATTATAATGTACAAATCAGATAAAAGACCAAAACACAAAAATCTCGTCTTTTCCGATGACTGAGGGATATTTTTCCAAAATGTAAGTCCTAACATAATTGAAACCCTAAATTCATACTACTAATTTTTAGAGCCAGGATTGCATTGAGAGAAGCATCTTTAATTCAGATATAGAACATTTCCAGGTGTAGAAATTAAGATAAAAATTAAAGTTATTTATTAAATAGGCAAAATAGGTTTAAATAGCATTTAAACAGCTTTGATATGTTGTTTCGATCAAAGCTAATACTGCATTAATACTACTTATTAATATCGCATTTCCAGCTAAATTATTTGTTAAATTTAGCTCTAATTAACAATGTTAATGTATATTTTAGTTTATTAATATACCAAGATTCTGTGAAGTGTGCTAATACCCCCTTAATAAGATTTTGCACGCACTTCTTCATTGAGCCACAAACCAAACGAACCCAAACTACAAATCAGAATCCACACTTTCTAAACCAAAATGGGTGCATTGAAGTGTTAAACGATGTAAATCGATCAAGGCGTATCCCCAACAAACATGACTGTAATTAACCAATTTTATAGCAGGTCCTCTAAAAGCGTTCAGTCTGTTCAGCCTGTTCGCTCACCCCAAAATATGTGGATGTGCGTCCGACTGCATGCCGAGCACAAACATGCCATAATTTTGTCGTTGGCTGTAATTATTTTAATTTAATACAACAAACTTAAAAGTGATGGCTGCTGTTTGCGACTCCAAATGTTCCCCAACACAAATATGCCTGTGGGCGAGAGTGCTGGGGGAAGAGGGTTGGGGAAGGACGATAAGAATGGCGGCAGGGCGCTAAATGTGTTGGCAAGTGTTGATACACTTGTGCGGACGTATGTGTATATGCGCCTTGCTTTGGCGTGCGTGCGAACGAGTGTAATCCTTTTCAGAAACAGGAAGTTGTGTGTTGAGCGAACCTATTATTAGAACCATAAATCAGCATGAAATGAGCAGAACGCCGCAGCCAACATGGGGAAGAAGCAGAAAGAAGAGCTTGAGCTTCGTTGCTACTCTCTGTGCGTAGTAGATGTGAACAAAATAGTAGTAGAGTAGTAGTAGATGTCATAGTAGTAGTAGTAAAAAGTGGTCTAGCAATAGCAACAGTAGTATGTGTGTTGTGTTGTTGTTGTTCGAAGATGACGTGAAACTTACATACATACATGGGGAAACAACGGAAAATAGTAAAAAGACCGTGACGACGACACCGACGCTGGAGCAACAAAAACAACAGTCAGGCACACGCACAATAAAAAGGCAATGAAGTCGCAACAGACACACACAATGAGAGCAACTGCGACTCCTCCCGTTTTCACTTTTTTTTCGTCATATACTACATGTAAAATGTTTTTCTTTTACAATTTACCAACAATTTACTACCCACTTACATTTGCCGTTAGGCGCAACCGGGCGTACAAAAGGAATTGGGAATGGCCATGGCACTATCATACACACAACACACAAAAAATTCCCGGCTCGGGTTTTAATTTCACAATACATACCCCAAAATTACAATGGTGTGGCATTTAATGGCACTTTTGTAAAGTCCGCACGTTTTAAGCAAATAAATTGTTGAATTTAATTTTAATTTTGCACAACTATTGAATTTGTCGCCTCCTCTATGAGTGCGAAGCACATTTTTACACACTAAGCTGTATGGTCGCGGCGGCGACGACGACAAGAGAAGCTAAGAACCGTTACTTCCCATATAGTACGCTATTCGTCGCCGTGAATTTGCCAAATCTTTCTTTTTGCACTACACTTGCAAAAACAGTAAGGCATTGGTTGGTATATAATATGATTGTTAGACAAATTTTAATTTTGATGAGCGAATTTTTACTATTTAAACTTTTTGCTGCCGCTTCTGCTTGTGGTTAAACTTATTTGGCTGCCGTCCGTGGCTCAAATTGCAAAACCTCACCTAACGAGCAATTGAAATACACTGGGAAACGGAAGCTGTGAGAGAATACATGATAGCGGCGCCCATATGCAGGCGCAGGACTCGTCAGAGCGAACATGTTGCAAGGACACGCATGAAACCGCACAAAGGTTCGCATATTTAGCGGGTCAGACATTACTATTTTCTGTATAATTTGTAATAAACCTTACAATATTTAATATTCATATATGATACTTATTAAACAAATAACAAAAATTAATATAAAAATAGTTCATATGCAACAAAACATTTTGTTTCATTCAAATAGTTTCTCGCGGTGTATGGACGCCCGCGCTTTTGAATGTCCTATTGTGAATGGCAGTCCATATGACTGACAGCTGAGCGACAGTGCTGCCAGATCACATGAAAAAATGCAAGCGCTTGCCGGCAAGCAGGGAAAATAAAGCTAACAATTTTATTTATTTTGAATAGAACATCATTTAAATGCACAAAAATGGCCGGCGACAATGAGAGCAACAGTGCCGAAACCACAAATGAGCAAATTGATTTGGCTGTCTACCGCAAATTAGTGAAACAGTTCATCGACATGGTAAGTGGACGCCGCTGTTTGCACAACAACAAATCGATGATGTTTTGTTTTTTTTGTTGCCTGTTTCTATTGCTTTACAGCGTCGCTACTCAACAGCGCTCTTTTGGGCAGAAAAAGTGGCCGTGCTTAGTGGATATGAACCAAGAGATGTATATTATCATGCCCAGTGCATGTTTCTGTTGGGGGAGTTTCATCGCGCTGCCCATACCATACAGCATTATAAGCTGGAGAAGAATTCCCTGCCCTGTTTCAATTTGCTGCTCGAAAGCTTATACGCTGCGAAGGAGTATAATGAGGCGGCCAATATCATACAATCGGTGGAGGTGGATCTTATGACCACCTCCTTGATAAATCAGCCTGTTGATGCGGGCAGTGGTTGCTATTTGGAGAGCAATAGTGTCTTTGCCGGCGAGGAGAACAATCGCAACGTAAGCGAAACTGCCGTGGCTAAGCAGTTGTATGATTAAGTGATGTTTGCTTATTACAGGAACTGCTGGCCTCCATATACTTGATGAAAGGTAAAGTGTACGAAGCGCTTGACAATCGGGGCATGGCCATGGACTTTTATGTGCAGGCTCTACACAAATCAATTTATTGCTTTGAAGCGCTAGAGGCTTTGGTGCAGCACGAAATGCTAATGGCCTGGGAAGGTAAATTACTGCTCCTTCTTATGCATATATTCCGAATAAAATACAGCTCTTGTTATCCTTTTAGAGTTTGAATTGATGCACCATTTACCGTTGGCACAGCAATCGAGCGAAGTGGATGCCAAGTTTATTCTTAAATTGTACGAGTCAAGATTGAAGAAATACTACGAGCTCATATCGACTCGCGGGGTTGATGAAATATCGCCCATTGTCAATCCAGATGTACTTAAATATATCAAAGAGGTTAGCACACGTGGGCAGCCCCAAACAGGCACATCGGAGACGCAGGTACCTAAGCCGATTTTGGTCAAGTTCCCGGTAATTTCGCCGGCACAAAAGTAAGTGAAGAAGATTAAATTATTGTAGAGTGCTGTTTATATAAGTCCTGATCACAATTTAGAGTGCTCGAGGACTTGAAGGTACCCACATTCTCGCTGCAAACAAGCCTCTCCCGCGCCTCTTCCATGATTGATTCTTCGCACCGCTCCTACTTTGAGTCGTCCGGGCGAAGGCGTTCACGCGACAACGATACAGTCACGATACAGTTAATGCCACTCGCCGAATGCATGACGCGGGTGCTACGCAGCACGGATCTTATGGCAGCCGAGGCTGAGAAATGCTTCTACGATTGTGACTACAAACACTGTCTGAAGATTCTGAATGAGTACGTTTTTGAAGACTTATATTTATGATTGACTGCATTTAACTAATTTCCTAACTGTTCAGCCTCTTGAAAATTGATCCGTTTCACAACAATGCCTTGACCATACAGATAGCGTGTCTCGTGGAGAATGGAGACTTTAATAAGCTATTCTATGTGGCCCACAAATTAGTTGATCGCTATCCTGATAAAGCAATATCCTGGTATGCCGTTGGCTGTTACTACGACATGATAGGCAAGAGCGATCCAGCTCGCCGCTATTTATCCAAAGCCACAGCACTAGATCGTCTCTATGGGCCCGCCTGGCTAGCCTATGGCCATTCCTTTGCTAATGAGAATGAGCACGAGCAGGCCATGGCTGCGTACTTTAAGGCCACGCAATTAATGCGTGGCTGTCATTTGCCTTTGCTCTACATTGGTGTCGAGTGTGGACTGACAAAGAATCTCGAATTGGCGGAGAAGTTCTTTTTACAGGCCATGACAATTGCTCCTCTTGACGTTTATGTGCTGCATGAGTTGGGCGTGATTAAATATGAGTATGAATACTACGAGGGTGCCGCCACCATCTTCCATTGCACTGTGGATCTTGTGAGTCAACGTGCAAAGGCCAATAATGAGGAAATATCTGCACGTTGGGAGCCGTTGTACATCAACTTGGGTCATTCTTGTCGCAAAATTAAAAAGTACGAGGAGGCGCTCTATCACTTTCAATATGTAAGCCAATAAGATGATTGGTTTTTTGTAATTTGTTTAAAAGTTACGATTGTTTGTTTACAGGCACTGGTGCTAAAGCCCCAGAACCCAACGACATACACATCCATTGGTTTTATCCATGCTCTTTTGGGTAACCTCGACAAGGCTATTGAATATTTTCATAAGAGTTTGGCTCTAAATCGTGATTGCATTGTCACATCCACAATACTGAAAGGCTGCATTGAGGACTTAATGGATGACAACACCACAATTGATGAGATTTGCAGCAAGGCCCTAAAAAAGGTTTCCAAATCCACCCCGGCTGGCAGCCAACGTGCTCCAAGTGCTGATAAATTCAATGGCGTTAAATTGAAATTTGATGAAGACGAGTTGACCAATTCAGACTCCAATATGATTGTCGAGATGAGTTTCGAGACCTAAAATAGTTCATGTAAATGCACTATGTTCGTTGTTTTTTCTCCCATGTTCAAAAGAATAATATCGATATTATATACATACATGGTGTGTTGCTCGGTCTGACTGCTACGGCTACGGCTGCCGCATGCACTTGAACTCAATTTGTGCACACGGCACACACAGCTGTTTCGTTTTTTCTACTTGTTGGTAGTGCTTGGGAATTTTGGAAACAGTCCAAGTCAAGAGCAATAATGTGAAATCTAAATTGTTTTTAATTCACTATTTATTTATGTTACAATGTTTTTCTTTTTCTAATTTTTAATTGAGGCATATCTATTCTATGCCCATTTAAATCAAGCTGGGCGGCTTATATGAAAGGTGTACTTCTGGATATATTTTCCACTCTAAATCACAGCCAAAATATACAGTATGCTTATAAATCCATAAAACGAAAAGGTTACAGCGATTGCGCGCGCTTATCGGTTATGTTTAGTTCAACGAAAAACTGCAAAAGTTCTCATTAAGAAATGTCATTAAACTTTTAAATATGCAAACAAACTACTGATACACTTTATGGAACTAACTGAGAACGTCAGCTAAGACATAATGCCAAATATTTGACTAGCAATTAAGCGTGCGAGCGAGTGGGAGTGAATGAAAACAGCTGAAGGTCTACCGGCGAAATATCTATAGTATGTAAGCATGTTGTTTATAATAAACGTAAGAAGCAACAACTTGGTCGTCGTCATCGTCTGATAAAGAGAGTTGCGCGCGTGATTATGCTGCATCGGGCCGTTCGGGGACATGTATATAATACCCTAGCGGCCACGAATATAGCACAGTCACAAAAAAGCGAGCAAGCAGTCAACAACATACTAAATAGACAAGAATTAGAGGGGAAAAAGTGAACAATGATCCGCTTAATATTGGTGCTAACGTTTACCCTTGCATTGGCCGAGGCTGTGCCCTTGATATCTTATGATGATATCGACGATACGGAGGTCATTGAGTTGCCTGACAATGCCATTGATGCAGCTGAGGCGCCGGCCAGTAAGGATATCATCGATTTAAGCGCCTATGGCAGTGCATTGTTTGGTACGCCCGATCAAGAGTTAACCGCGGCCCTCGTGGCCAATTATAGTGCCGAGAACGCGATTAATCCTGAGGAGCTGGGCACCTATCTGGAAGGCGATATTCTTATGCCTGGCCAGTACATCAGGAATGGACTCACCACGCAGAGCTCCCGTTGGCCCAAAGGTGTGGTGCCCTACGAGATACGCGGAAATTTCAATTCCCGTGACAGGACCACCATTGAGAATGCCATCGCCCAATATCACAGACGCACCTGCATTCGTTTTGTGCCACGCAGCATCGAGCGCGACTACATCAGCATTGTGAGTGGGAATTCGGGCTGTTGGTCATCGGTGGGACGTGTGGGCGGCAAGCAGGAGGTGAACCTTCAGTCTCCTGGATGTTTGGGCAGACCAGGCACAGCCATACACGAGCTGATGCATGCTCTGGGCTTTCTACACGAACAGAACCGCATGGAACGCGATGGCTTTGTCGCTATTCAGTACCAGAATGTGCAGCCATCCGCAAAAAGCAATTTCGACAAGGCGGCTCGCACCGAGGCCTTCGGAGTACCCTACGATTATGGCAGTGTGATGCACTATTCGGCTAATGCCTTCTCCACCAACGGGCAGCCCACAATTGTGGCTGTGGTTCGTATAATTTGAATTATTTTCTATTCCCCAAATTCATTTCACTTTCCAAAAAATTCAGAGAGCCGGTGGCAGTTCCAAAATGGGTCAGCGTGATGGCTTCTCCGATTACGATGTGGAAAAGCTGAACAAAATGTACGATTGCGGATATCAACCAACTCTACCTGGAGCTGTGGCACCAGTCCCAATTCCTGCGCCTGCACCTGCACCCGCTCCTGTTGCAGGCAGCGGCAATCCAATTGTTGAAAGCTTCCTCGGTGGCCTCATCAGCGGCCTGGGCCTAGGCGACGAGAATGAGAACAAACCTAGCCAGTAGAAAGAATGACCAAAGATACATTCAAAATCATCGCCTTCGACTTATTTAATGCATCCTCCATTAATAAATGTAGCAACAAAAACAAATAACTTAACTTACCAAATATAAATAATAATAAATCTTATTTAATGCAATTACAAGTATATATAGTTTTTTACTTTTTTCCAAGAAAATATGTATGATCAAGATAGTTGAATCATTAAAGAACAGTCTTCTTTATTGTTATCCAAAATTTCATAGGAAATATTATGAACAATTTAGGAACATAGCGACAATTTCTTTAATTCATTCATTTAACTTTGACAGCTTTAGAACCTTTGTGTACGTAATGGGTTTATTTTAAAGACAGCTAAAAAACTATATACTATAAATTTCAACGTGACTTTTACTTTTGAGCAAAAAAAAAAAATCTCAAGAAATAATCATTTTCTTAAGAGTTCTATTTTTTGCTGGAAAATATCAATTATTTGTTAAGTTCTTGAGAACTATAATTTTAAATTAAACATTACATTGTGAGACAATCAAAAAAATTCTTTAATAATGGAGGAAATCATTATCCTTAAAAAAGAAGATTGCGATACAGTATTTCTCGCTCTCTTAAAAAACACAAAATAATTATTTCCCTACAATTTTACCCCAATTTCGGGCTGTAATTATCATTGATTAATAATTAGTTAAATTTTAGGAAAAACTTTTCAGAAAAGATCGTTGTTATTGAACTCTGAAAGTGCTATGTGTAGCTAGAAGTGCTAATTTTTCTATCATTAGATGCCAGCCCTTTCTTGCCCCATCACTTGATTGATTTCAAATATTTAGCTGCTTTGTTTTGAACATATGTCTAGGAACCTATGTTCACAAATATAGTAAAAGACTGTATATTCAAATGAATGTATTTATCCCCAGAGATTTGCATTTGGAATTGTGGACAAACAAAATTGGTATGGAAAGAAATTGGAAAGATTACATGTTGCGCTTGGCAGCCAGCAATCGAGATCGGGGTAGACGGCATTGGCTGATGCTGTGCAGTCGATATTGCATCTCCGGCTGAGTAATCTTCTCGTAGAGTTTCTTCTTGGCCTCGGTGACGGTGTGTATGATGACACCATCGCCGCCATCGTCCATGTTGAACGCCTCGCCTTCGGCGCACTCCGGACACTGCTGGGTTAGGACAATGTCGTTCAGATCGGTGGGCAGCTCGCATATCTTCTCGATCTGTTTGACGACATAGTCAAAGTTGCCCTCGTCCTGGCGCTCGTTCACGTAGACACAGGCGGTCAGTTCCTGAATGCGACGTTCTAGTATTTTAAGGAACCGTCGCACATTCACCAAATTGACGTGCGTGTGATCGCCGAGGAGAGAGCTCAGTGGCGTCGAGTCGACCATGCACATTTCGCAGAGCGTCTCCACGCCCTGTAGAAGATTCTCCAGACGCGTGTCGTTCTGCTCACGGGCATTGTGCAGCGTCACATTAGAGGCCTGCTTATTGTTAACCTCTTCTTCTAAATTGGATATCAACTCTAATTGATCCAGCAGGGTGTGCGAATTGTCCCGCTTCAGCATTATGATGTCCTCGAACAGACGATTCACGGAGTTGTTCAGAAGCGTAATGTGGTAGCTCATTTCGTTGGCGTAGTTGAAGAATGAGTAGTAGAGGCTCTCCTGCTGCTGGAACTTCTCAATCACCTCCTCGACGTTGTGCGAGTTGGTGTAGTCGAGTATCTTCTGCAGCACCGAGTTGTAGAGATTGATCTTTTTGTTGTGCTTGCGTCGGAACTCGTCTCGACGTCTGTACTCCTTGGGCTGTAGATCGGCGAGTATGCGCACCTTGGCTTTGCATTCGAGGAAGGCTGTATTGTCGGCGTCGGCCGCCACCTTTCGCATAATGCCCTGCATCTCAATTTTTCGCAATTCGCGCTCCTTGGCCTCACGCTTCGCAATGTTGTCGATCTTCTCATACACATCGATGCAGCCATCGAAGGTGTTCAGCGCATACTCGATCAGATCGACCAAATACTTTTTATCGCTGTTCAGCTTCTGCACCATCTTGGTGTAGGATTCGTTGAAGAAGGTGCGATGGTTGAGTATCCGTATGAGCTGCTCGCGCAAGTCGGCATTGGCTGCAGTGAAGCCACACTCCTGACGCACGCCCACCTCCAGCGAATTCTCCAGTATCATCATCTTCTTGCGCACACGTGCCACATGCGCCTGATGCTGCTGGTCGGGCACGGTAAGGCGATTGAGATCGTAAATCTGTTTGTCCACCCGACTTATCTCGCGCTCCATATTATTTATGGAGACCTTGAGCCGCATAATGTCCTCGGTCAGGTTCTCCTGGCAATCAACGTGGCACCGTATGAGGTTCAGATGACGATCATTCTTTTTTTTGTGCGTAACGCCAGTGGCCACCCAGATTTGAGCACGCAAGTCATCCTTCTCCTCCATAAGCTGGGTGATGGCATTTTCGTAGCTGGCCTCGATGATGGTCTCCTTGCGCGTCTTCAACTTACTGGACAGTATCTTCTTATACTCGCGCTGCCTCTTGCCCAGATCGCGATGCTTGAGCAGATAGCTCTCGAGAAAACTCGACTTATTGAACTGTATATCGTCCATGTTGTGCAGACGCGAATACAGCCAACAAAGTTTGGTTAAAGTATAGAAAGTAGCAAAACGTATTAAATTTGTTTAATTTGTTTATTCTAAATACAAAAACTATTTGTGGTATAATATTGTTCTATAGCACAATTTATATTGAAGTGTTTTTTGGACGCGTTGTTTTCGAAAAATGAGTTCTCCCAAGTCTCACAGTAAATTTTTTCCATACGTGTTGAGTGGAAGGTCAGAGCATACTACTGCTGTGATATTCCTGAGCTCTCCATGGCACGGAATATCTTAAATACAGACCACACGTAGGCTGCCGTGCGCAAATCGTTACAGAGCTCGAATTGGTTGGCGGTCGCTTTGATGCCAGCGGCTGCAGATTCCATAACCGTTTGCAGGGCCGCATCTACAATTTCGGCCTCCTTGGTACAGTCACGTATCTGCTTCAGGCGATCATTGGGCTCAATGTCTGGCTGCAAAGAGATGCACGGGAGATGAGTGGGAATCCTAGGGCCAAAGGGATTATGATTGAAGCCAAAAAAATTAGACTTCTCTAGGGTTTTCAAAGACAGCCCAAAGGAAGGTGGTGGTGTCTACTCTACTAGGAAAATCTTGTATGGTTTCGAGCCACTACAGCATCTTCTGGCCGAAAATAAATGACTGTCAGTCAGGCGGCAAATAGTGCTGTCGATAGTCTTGGATCCGAGAAGCTGTCACTAATCTGTCTAAAATATTTTTTTTTGGTTTGACTCTTCATATGGAGCTTCACTAAAAAGAACTGGCAAGATATAGAGCTACTATATTTCCCTCTTTTCGAAGAAGGAGAATCAGTCATAGCCAGCTCCATGCTCAGATCTATTTAGAATTCGATCCGTACTGGCCAAACACAGCCGAAACACACGAGCTCGTTCCATGCTCTATAAAGCTCTGCTGACGAAGCTCTGGACATTCCCTAAGTGGCTGGTGGTTCTTTTTCATAAGCAAATTCTTCTTTGGATCTGTAGTCCACTGATTTGTCTGACAAGATATTCTGGATGGACTTAACCAATCACTTCCATTGGCAGAACAGTGCTTAAGGGGAAGGTGGAACTATCGAGTGTAATGGTCAGACAACGTTAAGGCTATCGCCCAAACCTAAATCGAATTCTGCCCTTTAAGCAATCCTTATGCCGGCAGTTGGCTAACAAAAGTTATATATAAGTATGTTTAAGCAGGCTATACTAGGTTGCTGGATAGATCATCTCAGTATCTCTATTTTCAGCCTCTTCCTTAATACTTAGGTGAGAGGTTGTCCTCTTAGGTGGACTCTTTAAGAGAAGTATTCATTGAATATGACTGTCTACTCACAACGGAAGTTCCCTAAAAATGTAGCAGTCAGTGTCACATTCGTATACTTACTAGTTCAACATCCTTGGCCTGACACAAGGACTCGTTAATTGAGTTGATTACTTCGTGTATGAGCTGAGATGTCGTTTTGGAGTTCATTTTGCCGTAGGATACATGATTGATGTTCTTCAAGTACTCGAAATAGGAGACAGTGACGCCGCCCGCATTACAATAGAGATCAGGCACAAAGAGCACGCCCTTATCGAGCAAGATTTTCTCACCAGCCGGTGTTGTGGGTCCATTGGCACCCTCCAGAATCATTTTGGCCTTAATGTCATTGGCATTCTCACTGGTGATGACCTTCTGTGTGGCACACGGCATTAGAATGTCGCATTCAGCCTTCAAGAGATCAGACTTGGCTTCCGTTGCTTTGGAGTAGCCCTTAATAGATTTCTTTTCATCCTTGTACGCAAATAAATCCTATGAATCGTGTGGAAATCGATTGGTCAGCTGAGAACCATGGCAGTGTGTCTGCTACTCACATTGATGTCAATGCCATCCTTGTTCTCTAGGGATACATCCATTTCCTTAATGCCAATTACCTTTGCGCCAGCCTCGTGCACAAATTTGGCCGCAAAGGAGCCCACATTGCCGAAGCCCTGAACAATGACTTTCTTATCCTTCCAGCCCGTCTTCCATTTAAGCAAATCCATCCATTCCTTGTCCTGCAGAAACAGATCGCCTGCCTTCCAGACACCCCGACCCGTCGCCGAGTTGCGACCGTTGATGCCACCGCAATGGACGGGCTTCCCGGTCACAATGGCCGCCGCATTAATGTCCTTGTAGCCGAACGTCTTGGTATACTGGTCCACGATCCAACTCATCTCACGCGGACTCGTGTTCACATCCGGAGCGGGCACATCAATGCCCGGCCCAATCATGTTGCGCTTCAACAGCTCCATGGTGTAGCGACGCGTAATCGTCTGCAGCTCGTTAACCGTGTACTTTTTGGGATCTATGCGGATGCCGCCCTTGGAGCCGCCATATGGCAGATTAACGCAAGCGCACTTGAAGGTCATGATGGAGGCCAACGCTTTGACCTCGCTCTCATCCACATCGGTGGCGTAGCGTATGCCTGGACAAGGAAGAGATTAGTCCAGCACTGAACCACTCCCTGTGCGCCGACCACTTACCTCCCTTCAGGGGCAGCCGATGTCTAATGTGATGCGAGCGATAGCCGGTGATAATCTCATACTGTCCATTGCTCTTGATAATCGGGAAGCTGACCTCCAACGAGGTGGTCACACTGCCAATTAAGTTCAAAATGGCGGTTACACGTGCCTGCTTCTCCTCCGGCTTCATATGCGAGTACACGTCCATCTCCTTGACCAGCTCCTTCTCCATTTTCTGCGCCGCCTTGTGATAATAATACAGCACCATTGCCGAGAACTCGGGATCCTTGTCCGTTTCGACCTTCTTCAAATGCTCTGGCATTTTGTGCTCCTGGCGTCTTGGAACTTGCTGGAAAGAGCGCGCTTTTTGCCACGTGCCGAGGCCTAGAGTAATTCCACGAAACATTTTCGAAATACACGCGATCTCTTCGTGGGAAACAAATCAAAACAAAAAAATATGTTCTGGAAAATTTTGAGAGAGTTTCTGAAGACTAGTAAAGAGATTAAATTCCTTTTAAGTAGATAAAAATAAAGTCCAGAGAAAGGCCAAAGACAAACATTTGAATGATGACTGAGTTGTTGGGTTTGTTTTAAAATATTTTTTGGATTTTTCGTTTATTATATAAATACAATATTTGAAAATTGCTCTACATAATACGTGGCTACTAGCTACGAGCTAAGCTTAAATAATTTATAGCTATACACAATTGAAAGCACAAACTGAATGCTTGCTCAACTCTCTCGTACATACATATATCTAACTGAATACAAACTAAAATATAACATATGTGGTACTACTATGTGGATACAGGCTGGTATATACTCGTAGAGGTTAATATTAGATAGGTACTACTAACTGATGTGCCGTTTTACGTTTAAAACTCTTGGGCTCGCACGGAAGCGCACAAAATGTTGTGTGTTTGTGGGTGTGTTTTTTTTTTTTTTTTTTTTTTTTTTTTTTTTTTTGGGGGGGGGGGGGGCTGGCCGAGTACTTCGTATTACCAACAGGACAGATATAAGTTACAAATTTTAAAGATACACATGTTATATAGATAGCTACAGATTTCATTTTATATGTACACACGAAATTGGTCGTTTTCGAAAAATGTGTTGCAGCTTAATGGGTGGGTGGGTTAAAGAAAAAAAAGCGATCGAAAAAATTGAAAAAATGTTAACGAAATGTAGCGTTTTAATATCACTTTTTGGGGACATGCACATTTTTTATGGCCTCGTTTACGAATATGCTAGAAATGATTTATAATTTCAGTTTATAATTTTCACTTTCTCTTCATCAACTATCTCCATGGGACAACAACAATCAAATTGCACACAAATTTAAAATTTAATTACTTTTTATATTGATTTCCACTCGTATTCAATCCGTTTCTGTTGTATCTTGAACTGGTTTCCTTCATATAGTATAGTATCAATGCTAACGACTTAAGCTTAAAATTAGAGTTAGGGGTAATGGCTAATTACTTAGGGCTAGGGGCGAATATTTAAATTAATTTCAAATTAATTTAAAAGGCTACTCTGCTTTTTACACATTACACATTATTGGGCGCTTAACACTTTAATCTCGTCGTAAGATCGCAGGTTATGCTGCTTAAAATTTAACATCACGCATGGAAAACAAACTCTGAAGCTAAAAATATAGTATGTATATGTATGTATAGTATATATAGTATATGTATATATTCAGCTTTGCCAATATGAAAAGCTAAAACAATTGTGTTGTCAGAGCACAAAACTAAGCACACATGAAAGAATCCACACTCGGTGTAATGCTGCTTCGATCGCTTCCATATCGCTGCTAATCGATGTCCTTCTTCTCGATTTTCAAATCGTATTTCGCCACCAACTCCTCAGGCGTGTGTCTGTAAGTAAGAGTTAAGAGAACATTTAGTTATCGGTTTATGCTTCTCTCATTTTTGCGCTACTTACCCGACCAGATTCTGCAGATCACACACAAAGCGATAGACGTAGCGCTTGCCCGCTGTCTTGTGTATAATGTTCTTATCGTAGTAATATCGGAGACCACGACTCAGCTTCTCATAATTCATTTTGGGCTTGTTCTTCCGTATGCCCCATCGACGAGCAACCTGCAGGTAGATAGAAAATATGGGAACCATGAATTATTCTGTGTGATGAAATTTTCTGAAAACTAAAAGTCCTATATCTTGTACTATTCGTTCTTAAATCTGCAGATGTTTCGGTGGAAACATCTATAATTTGAATCTCGCTAAGAAATAGAGTTCAGTTGCCTTATAACTTCGAAACTTTTACAAAAATCAAGTAAGGCTATGGCCACATAGGCGAATAATTTGCACACAAATTTGTCATATTTCACAAGATTCGAATCTTTCTAAAAAATAAATAGATTTCAGTTGCCTAATAAATCTGCAAGTTTTACAAAATTAGTTCAATTTTCGAAATCAAGTAAGGCTATGGTCACACAGGCGAATAGTTTGCACACAATTTTGTCATATTTCACAAGATTCGAATCTTTCTAAAAAATGAATAGATTTAAATCTGAAACTTTTACAAAATTAGTTCAATTTTCGAAATCAAGTAAGGCTATGGTCACACAGGCTAATAATTCGCATACAAATTTGTCATATTTAACAAGTGTGTCAAATTAAGTTAACTTAAGTTTTTCAAATTCCAATTGGCTTACAAATTAGTGAATATATATGAATATAGTATATAAAGGTGCAGATTTTTGAATATCGAGTAGCACTTATTTAAATAATTGACCTACACTTCTAAGAACTCTTTGATCGATGGAAAACATCTAAGTTTTGATGCAAATTTCTTCAAAACTGTTATAACAGGCAAATAATTTGCACACAAATTCGATGAGTTATACTCAAATCTCATTAATATACTTAGTAGTCGAAGAAACTATTTTTTTATGCAAATATAATTGCTTATTAACTAAGCTGCTGCGTACTGGTATAAAACCATCATAAATTTCTCTGCAAATAATCTGACTGTGTGACCGTAGGTTAGAGAAAATCTGTGCAGCTGTTACTTACCTCATCGGGATCGGTGAGCTTGAACTCCCAGCCGTCGCCTGTCCAGGAGATGAAGTTCGAACACGTTTTATCGAGCAAGAGCTCCAGCAGGAATTGCCACAGCTGTATGGGACCCGAGCCCGTGAAGCATGGCACACCACCCTGGGTCGTATAGCCGCCGAGTAGGGATTTATCCAGACCCAAGGTGCTTATGTAAGCGGCCGGATTGTGGTGTGGATGTGCGCCCCATTGATCCATGCCGGGCTGACCGCCCATGCCCTGAAACTGTGTGGTATCGTAGTGCGTGAAATCGGTGCCGTAGGGATCGGAAAAGCGTGAACGATTATAGGAATTATAGAAATCGGGACTGCCATCCAGATAGCCAGAGCTGCCGGCACTGCCGCTGCCATTGCCAGCACTCGAGCCCTGACTCTGATGCTCCTGCGCCGATAGTGTGCTGTGATAGTCGTTATCATCGCCAGCACCAGGGCCAGAGTTGCCACCACCACCGCCACCACCGCCAGCAGCAGCACCGCCACCACCACCACCACCGTAGTGGCCAGCAGCCGCTACGGCTGCCAAATGTGCGGGCAGGCCGTAGCTGGAGAGATCGGTGGGATCGTTTTGAGGATTTTGTGCGTAGGCGGCAGCATTGCTGTTGTTGTTGTTGTTGTTGCTGCTGCTGCTGTTGTTGGGATTTTGTGTGCCCGGCTCCTCTTTAAGCTGATGTTGTGTGTAGATTGCGGCAGCGGCTGCTGCCATTTGCATGTAGTTGATGTTGCTGTTGTTGTTGTTATTATTATTGTTGTTGTTGTTGTTGTTACTGCCCGCATTAGCGCCGCCGCTGTTGTTGTTGCTGCTGCTGCTATTGCCGCTATTGTTGTTGTTGTTGTTGCTGTTACTGTTGCCCTGACTGGCCGAGTTTTGCACAGCAGGCGGCAGCATTGAATTGTTGTTGCCATTCTGCTGACTCTGTTGCTGCGGTGGCGGGCTAGTCTGGGAGCGATCATGCGCATTATTGCTATAGCCTGTAAATAAAAACAGACAATGTTGATTATTACAAGTAAGTACAGTACTTTGAGAAAGGGGTCGAGTACACACAAGTAAGAGTATCTGTAATTAAACTATCTTATCAATCAAGTTCAAATATTGAAGGCACGTCATGGCGTGTCGTCAAAAATGGGGCGGCGTCTCTCACACATCATCAGCTTCACACACACACACACACGCATAGGCACAGAGAGTGTAAATACATCGAAAACCAATCAAAATCAAAGCTGGCCCACATACTAGTGTACGCATGCTCACAGATACTCACACACACAGACACACTGGCAGACCGACAGACACTTTTATAGACAGCTTTTTTCCCATCTAATGGTCTGTGAGCAGCGCACGCTACATTAATCGCAGTAAGCGCATTTAACACACAAATCGCTGCTACTTGTATCTGTGAGATACAAAAAACCTGTTGCTACACACACACACACACACACATACATTCTTGCAACTCTGGCTCTCACTCGCTCGCTCCAACCACTGTAATCCCATTCACTCACTCACTCATGTGTTTGTTCGAAAAGCTTTGCGCTCGTCCCATTCGCTCAACACGCCGGTATTGCGCACACACTTTCAGACACAGACACAGATACACATTCATATACAGATACAGATACAAGCAGTCGTTGGCTGGCAAAGTGAGACGAAACGAAGCGCACGCCGAGCCGCAAGAGTTCAGCGCATCGTATTCGATTCGCGTCAATACTCCTCCTCCAAAAAACAAAAAAAAACAAAAAACAAATACCCACAGATACATTCATTTCGATTGCCAGTGGCGCAGCATCTAAGCAAAAGTTAAGTGAAAACTCTGCTAAGACGGCCAACCCCAAAGCATCTGAAGGACAAACAAGGACTAGCTAGTCGTAAGTGCTTGATTAAATTCGAAATTAACTTCGAAGCCCTGAAAGACCTACAGTACCTTATGAGATGTGCTGACGAGCTGAACTGAAATAATAGTTTCTTAAATTTCCAAAAAGCTTACAAATAATTCAATAAGACTTTATTACCGTTTAAAGTTACACTGAACCTAATTATTTGGAATACTAATATTGACTTGTCTTGTTATCCGGAACAAACTGGTATATCCTTTTATAAAAACTAAATTAAATGATAAGCCGATTTTAGGGTTTATTTGTTTTTATTTTTGGATTTATAAACACCACATGGATTTAAACTGAGGCTGGGTGCATCCTGCAATTTATTAAACGCTTTACACCTAGGCATAGCAAGGGTATTCGGTATATCCAAAGGCTCTCTGCTCAAGAAAAGTCAACACCAAAGACATTTAAAGAGACATCATCTACTGGACCAAGTCTTCTCTTTTATAAAAATAGCTTAAGCTACGGCCAGACTGCCCAATGTTCATGGATAATAATTAATTCTATTCTTAAGTATATTTTCCTTCCGACTTTGTATGCACATCATTTAATGTGTGACCATATTTTTGGTGTACAAGCAATACAATATGAATACGTAAAACGAGTCAATATCCTTATTCCGCAGCACTTTTACTGTTTGAAAAACTAAGTATATCGTAAAATGTAAGAGAAGTTCCATTAAGAACAGATCTAGAAAAAAGTATAATGAATTTCAAAGATATTTCGTATTTGGTTATATTTTTACAAAATATAAATTCCTGCTGTTCAAAATTGATTACCATTCTGAAATGGTATATTAATTTGTTTAATTATGAAAACCGAAATTTTCAGAATTCTAAAATAATTTTATAGATGCATAATATACGCATATGGGTGTCTACTGAGATAGAATTGAGTTAAATTTAGTTGCAGCTTATAGTTGTTTGATTCATAACGTTTTTGATTCAACTAATTGTTTAAACAAAACCATTGTCACGAAGCTTAGGTGTACATTAATATATTCCGGAGTCATTATAAAATCGAAGCAAATCTGGCAACCCTCTTAATACTGTCAAGCTTCCAATTATCTATATATTCTCAACTTTATACTCGTATAGTTGGAAGGATGTAAGTATTTAGAGGCTTGCCAGATTTGTTTCGATGAAGCCCTTAAGTCTTCAGAGTATATAAAAAAATATTGGGAGTAGAGCTACTTTCTGCAAAGCTTTAAAAATTTAAAATTAATTTGTTTGTAATCTGAACTGAAATGTTTCATTTAAAAGAGTTTAACAATTATATAAATACTTGTAAAACCAAAAAGTGCTTCGCTGCAATGTTTGAAAATAAAAGAAAACTGCAAATTGTATTAAAATTAATAATCCAATCCATATTTCAAAATGAATATTAATAAGCTACTTTAAGAAAATCTTTAAAAAGAAACCTATCAAGTAAACTGAAATCAAAAGTATAACTTTTTAAACTCTAATTCCATTATTGAAGCCCAAAAAATAAAGCACAAACATAAATTTAAATCAAAAATGGATTAAATTTTCAACCTTTTAGGCAATGCTTTTAGTTTAAATTTAGTTTCTAAAGCAGACTTGAGGTTTTTCATTAATTGATAGTTCAAAAATTGACCTTTCTGATTGAAATGATGTGCAGTTTATTAATTATAGAACTCATCCATGCGTTACATTCTACATCCATTTTGCAGCTGATTTAAGCATGTACGAGTATATACTTGTATGTATATGATACATCCAATGTACATTATATATACAAGTTGTGGACAAAGCATTTAATTGTCAAACAGTGAGCATTTATCACATCGCTGCCTAAAGTGCAAACAGAGACAGCACCAACTATTGAACAAACAAGCCGCAACACCCACCCATCTAGAATGGAAAAGAAATCCCCAAAACTGAAATCCAAGTGCTGACAATCTCATAGCTACTTGTTGCGTGTTTGCTCACTTCTAGAGCGTCGGAGATGGGGTGGGGGTGTGAGGGTTAGGCCGACATGACTTGCGGGCCAACGCGCGTTGTGATTACGCACCAGGCGTGTTGCATATAAGCACTTAAAAATGAATTACAATTTAATTATTTGAAATGGCTGGTAACGAGGGACGAACCAAAGAACGCACAATGAAGAGCGACCCAAACGAACGAACTTGTCTGCGGGCACATCTTTTGAGCACACACACACACAGACACACACTTCACACCCCCTCCCACCATCCTGGCACTCTGTGGGCTACCAGTTGTAATTAAATTTGTGGTTGAAATGCTTTAGCATTTGATGTCAAGATTATTAGCGTCGGGTTTTACTTTGTTTCAATATTTGCCAAGCTGCCTTTTGTTCTTGCCAGAGAAAGGAACAGAGAGGGGAGAGAGGGGGACTGGGAGCTTTACCTGAACTAAAGAAATTCACATCCGAATCGGTGTAGTAGGCATTATTGTTGTTGTTGCTAGACGCCTGATGCGATGTGGGCGAATAGTCGCCCACAAACGGCGCTATATCATTAAAGTAGCCCAGACCCAATGAGGCAGCCGTGGAGCTGGCCAAAGCACCAACCAGAGAGCTGGCGCTGGTGCCGCTCGAAAAAGCGGCGCCAGCACCTAAGCCGACGGCAGATGAGGGCGTTGAGGCGCTGGATGAGCTGGAACTGGAGCCCGATGAGGATGAGGCTGTGTTACTGCCGGTGCTGCCGCCGGACAAGCGTTGATGTGGCTGCTGCTGCTGCTGCTGATGTTGCTGTTGTTGTGCGTGATGCGTGGGTGAGCCATAATGTTGTTGTTGCTGTTGTAGATGCTGCTGCTGCTGTGCATGCAGTGCATGCTGTTGGTGTTGCTGATGTTGCTGGTGATGATGTTGTTGCTGCTGATGCTGCTGCTGGTGATGTTGCTGATGCAGCAAGTGGGCGGCTTGATGTGGCAAATGATAGCTAGGATAATTCTCATAGCTTTGTAGCACCATATTTGTTGTTGGTTTCGTTGTTGTAGCGGTTGTTGTTGCTGCGTAATTGTAGTTTGGCGCCGTTTGACAATTGTTGTTGCTCGTGCTCGCAAAGTGTTGCTGTTGTTGCTGCTGTTGCGCCAATTTATGCAAATTTTTCAATTGATTTATAGGCCTACTGCTTGTGTTGGCGTCAATGTTTAAGTTTGTTACTCTATCGCAGTCCGCTGCTCCCTCTGCCGCTGTTGTTGCGCTGATTATGGTGGCATTAACTAAAAACGCAGAGGGCGGCATCTCTTCGAATTTTCCAATTGGTCAATTGTCAAAAACTTAATGGAAAAAGCGCACGTCATTGACTTTTATGGTCTCTCAAAATCACTTCATAATATTACTCACTAACAAAACTGAATATCTGAATGTCTGAATGCCTCAATTCTGCGGGATTTGCGGGTATTGGAGCAGATAACGCACACACACACATACACAGAAACAATGTCCGTTCTTCAATTGAGTATTTTCGAAATCGTAAGCTGAAATTGTCGTTTATGCTGGTGGTACTTGCATTTGTATTAAAATTGATTTTGGTTTTTGGATTCTTCTTAATTTTTGCATTGCCCGACACATACATATACACTTAATTTAATATTGTTGTTGTGGTCTTTCAGGGGGTTTCTACTATGCGGGTCCTAATCTAAATTTGGTGAAGCGTTTCGATTGTATTTGAATTTATTGTTATTATTTAAAGGTATTGAAGTACAGCCAAGGGAATTTATTTCTCCGATAATGCAAATATTCCAATAAATGTATAACGCTTTCTTTGCTTTAGTTATTTTAATCGAATTATTTGCCAAGCGTTGACAATTATTATAATTTTTATAATCTTTTTTTCATTGATATAAATTTTTCCTCACTTCATTTGTTGCATTCCTTCACAATTGTTAAATTTTTCCGTCGCATTTTTAATTTCAACTTAACACTTGCTGGTATTTCGCGCTTATAATGGCCACTGTTTAAAGCAATTCACATGAGAAAATTCCGAAACGAAAGATTCAGTACCACAATCAGACACATATATATAATTATATATACAGCACACAAATCGTATGATAAATTAATGCGCATATATTTTGAAAAAATACTGTGTGAATGTATTTGAT